GGGTGAATATGCACACCCATGCAAAATGACCTTGTCCCCAATTTGAGACATTTGCATCGTAAGAATAAAGATTAACCAATCAGCTATTTACTCTACAATGTGGGCAGAAAATAGACTATTAGTCATACGGTAAAATATGGTGTGTTGATGACACGTTAAAATGTTCAGATCAATAACAATGTTTTACACAAGAACTGGGGCATCATATAACAGTACTGAGTTGAATTTGCTGAGTATCTTTGACCTGTCCAGAAGAAAGAAGATGAGGAATGGAATGGATCTAGACGGATACATGGAAGCTGATAGAGTAGGGAGAGGAAGATTATGAAGCAGAAGATGAACCAGTGCTGTGTGGAGCATGTACAAACAACGAAATGAGTAACTGAACACAATCTATGAAACACTACACAGGACAAAGAAGTGAAGAAGAGTGAGCACAAAGACAAAAGACACTTCTAAGACACATTGGCAAGTGAAGCAGAACAGGCTGCTGGCTGGTAGGAGAGACAGAGACCTGACAACATTATTTCAAATAACCAGGTTACTTACTATCTGGTAGGGAAGAGATCAATGCCGACGAAACCAATGAAGGATAGTGAATGAAAACTAGTTAGCGAAGAGGAGAAACAAAGGAAATAATGAGCTGACCACTTCAAGAAGCTGTTGAATCGACCACCACCTGCAACTCGTCCACAAATACCACCAGTAGCTCAGCCACAGAATTGCTAGTGAACAGAAGCTTTCTCACAAAATCAGAAATCCTGAATATCATTGAACTGCTGAAATACGAGAAGAAGAAGAAGAAGAAGAACAAATCACATGGTGACCAAATTGTAACGGGAAGCATCATCATAGTTCAGAGTCAACTGTATACTTCAACTTTAGCAACTTTGAAAATGCCTTTTACAGCCTCGACATGCCGAGTTATTCATGATGGAAAAATCAGTGAAGCGTTGAAGTGAAGATAGTAGGTAGGAGTAATACAAGGTTGCCGCCTACTATCACCGATCATCTTGCTGATTGTGGTCGACTGCAGTGGACTGGACCATGCAATAGACAGTTGTGAGATGAGTATACGCTGTTTGACCGATGTGGTGGAAAGACGCCAGAATAAGATTTGGATTTCGTCGATGATGATGATGATGATCCATCTCTCTCTAAAATCTTGTAGCACCAACTCGAAGATGTGTGGGCGAAAGTTGACGAATTGTCAGAAGAGGTGATGTAGGGCAGTGAAGACGGGACTTGCTTCAGGTGAACGTGGAGAAGACAGAAGTAGAGCTGATAAAGATCTCTAACCAACAGTAACAACAATAACAAAGACAACGCAAGCATCAATCGCCGGTCACGCTGAACGTGAGAAATCTGAAGGAAGTTGTCCCTTTCAGCTACCCACCTAATTAGCATCGTTGCAACTACAGATGGCAGAGGTACAGGCACAGATGGGGGCGTAAGTGCTAGCCAGGATCGGAAAGACAGCAAGACAAGCCTTCCTGCATTATTTTGAAATCAGTGTGTAGATCTACTGCACTGCACTGCACTGTAGTCAGCATAGAGCGTGAACAAGATCTGGATTTTCAACATTAATTCAGTCAAGTACGTCAGTGCTTCTATGTGATGGCTGAGAGACTTGGCATGTCGCGAAAATGATTTCAAAAGAAGTATAGACATGTATCATCAACAGCTGTCGCGTACGCTCACTCGACATTGAAGATGAGATCAGATGGCGAGAATAATGAGAATAAGCAAGAAGGCATTCACTCTGGCTGGCTGGCTGCCAACGAACCAACCAACCAAGTACCTATCGCTCAACAAATATGCGCTGGATGGAAGTGCAGATGAAATGGATTGAACATACGCTGAGAAAACCATTCCGAGACATCATGCACCGAGCCATGCACTCGAGTGGAATCCTCAGGAGAAACGACTAGTTGGGTGTCCGAGCTGAGGGTGACATGGAGGAGTTGGTGTGAGGAAGAAATAAAAGCTTGTGTTCAGTCGTGTCCCCAGCTTAAGGAGACTGAAATGGCGACGTGCTACTGAATCCCTATGTTCCACTAGGAACCCAAAGGACAAATAATAATATAATAATATTAAACGAAGCCAAATGTCCTGAGTTTATTCATTTTTCTGAAAATCCATTTAAGTCGTCTCTAGGTCCTACAGGTTGGGTGTTATATGAAAAGGCATTGCATGAGCTGGTGAATGGTACGGCCAATTTACTCGACTCCACAACAGAAGGTAAGTTGATATACGCACATTCTTGAGGCACAATGCTACAACTTACCCTTAGAATTCCTCCCAATAAGATTTCGACAGGAAAATAGAATTCCAAGAATAGTAGAAATGAATGTTCGGATACTGATGTTGGTTCGCTCTTCCTAAGTATATTTATCGCATTATTTTTATTGAATTTGAGGTTCAACAGTAAAATCAATTTCTAAGCAGCGTTCACACGTTCCATGATGTTCACACCTATAAATTTCAGGGGGGTATCCACCTTTTATAAGGATTTCTTTCAGATTTTCTAGTTCACCTTCTCTGATATCCTCCATCCATATTCTTCACATTCTTGAATAGGGTGAATCGATAAGATTCTTCTTTCTACTTAACGACACAGCTTAGGGAATCAATAAACTGCCCACTCCAAGTAGGATTTCTGTAAATAGATCTCTTGATTGGATTGTCACATTCGCTTTGAAGTTGGATGTCAAGTAGGTGGAATTTTCAATTCGAGTCTTTTTCTGAAGTGAATATGACGAGAGGATGAACACTATTTAAAGTCTGAAGCAGGTCTTCGAGATTCCTATTCTCGTCAGAAGTGAAGAGTATATCAATCATGTATGTATGATTATTGATGATAAGGCTGTTTTCCAGACTTACCAAAGTGCAGTCGGCTAGGAAGAGTATGAGAGGCGATGCCATTGTCATACTGTCTATTTATCTGTAGATTGGGTTGTTGAATCTGAGTGGCACGTTTGAAGTAGATATATCTAAGAAGTTCGTTTATTAAATAGTGATTTGGGATATCAATGTTCCAATCAACTATGGGATTGAATGAAGCTACACAGGAAAGTAATAGTTTCCATTAGTACGACATGAATGTAGAGCTAAGATAATGATTTCGTCGAATAGAAAAGTTTTTCCTTACTGGAATGGTTTTCTGTTCTTTTTGTATAGAAGAATTTAAACTGCACAGACCGTCTTTGAGCACTGATGCACTGATGAAAACATAAAATGACTTTCCTGACTCAGATTTTCTCAATCCACTTATTAAATACTTGATTAGAATACCACTAAATCGTCAATACTCGACAGTTTCAATTGTAAGTAATCATCAGAAACTATTTTCACTCTAATTTTTTTTTCTTGTCTAGTGGGTTGGTATTCTAAGTTAAAATCTCAATCAGAGACTGATTATCACTGGATCGATCGAAACTACTATTATTATTACTACAGTTTTAGGCATAGTATTTTTCTCACTGGTCACTCTCGATGAATAATCACTTGAGATAATCGTTCATTCTTGTTACTCATCAGTATTTTAGGAACAGATTGACTGTAAAGCCTGGCAAAATATGTGATAACTATGAGACTAGACATTTTGTATTTAGACAAATGTTTAGTCTTGGTTATACGTTTAAATAGAGTGAAGATTATAATTTTTATTCCGTTGAAACTCTGTTATCAATAAAGTCAGCTGTTTACCTAAACCGACTGATTTTCTACAAGTAGACTATTCAGTTACTAATTAGGGGAAAATGTCTAATGAATAGAATGAGAATGAAGTCAAGTCAGTCACTGAGACTCGTAGAACAGTATGTAGAACAACGGTCTGTCAACCCATAGGTCACTGATCCGATTCATGCTGAGATTAAAAGACTTTTCATTTCACTTCCAGTCATTACCCAATATCAACTTTTATGTTCGACACTTTATTGATTGCTGAAAATTCTTTCACATTTGCTTATCTCCATTTCTGAGAAATCATAGAAATTAAAGTGTTTCAGTTTACTTTTGATCATCTGGGCCTCAGTGGATATCACAAAAATCTTTTTCATCTAATGTTTTTTGGGGATACTTTAAACAGTTATGTAGCTATCAGCTGTTGATAATTTGCTGACCTACATCATAACGATTAACATAGATAAGTTGTAGAATACATGTCCAAATCTTTGGTGAATAAAGTTATAACCGACCAATACTTTTTATACAGTGTTCTGTAAACTGGATCATTCTATTACAGATTGATTATTGTCATTTGGAACAATAGTAATCCATCGAATTATGATATTAAATTACTACACGAACACTTTATTGCATAACAGATGTCTATGATATGAAGTCACTTCACTTTAAGAGTTCACTGAATACTCAAATAGAAAATGATGTTAACTGTAGAAATCAAATTGAAACAAGGAAGGATATTTTTGAACATGAATCCATATGGAAACAGTAATGCCTTTTATTATTATTATTATTATTATTATTATTATTATCATTAGTATTTGTTCCTTGGTTTCCTAATGGAACATAAGGCTTCAGTAGCACGTCTCCAGTGCACTCTCTTCTATGAAATTTTTTGAATCTGGCTTTACGACATCCCACAAGCTCTCATTTCTTTCTCACATCATCTCCTCTATGTCAACCTTGCCTCCGACGCCCAACTTGTCGCTTCCCATCTGGGTTCTACTCGAGGGTCTACCATCCTTGAGTGGAACCCAGTTGCATTTGAGTGAATGATTTGCTAACTTGAGAGGAATTTCTAAAGTTCACTTCTTTTTTCGTTAAATTGTAACAATAATTTTGTTTATTTTCTTAACATTTATTCTTTATATACCCGCTTTCCAATCGTTCAACTCCTCTTAGACAAGTTTCCACAGTCTCTAAGTTAAATAATCACTATACTCACTACTAAATGATTAAACTTCGAAACAATAACTCAAAGGCGATATTGAGTAGTGGTGCTCATCAACATCACCATTTCTAAAACAAAAATATTTCAATTAGTAGGATATATTAATGAAAGTTTTATTCATGACACTACACCATCAGCGTTGCTCTTTACAGACGTGGTAATATGACCAGTTAAACACATGTAAGCCAAGTGCATAGACCTGAACAGCATTCAGAATTCCTCCAGCAACTCTCTCCTGAATCTAAACACCTTACACATTCACCATAGAATGGACCACTTAGTTTACAAACAGTATTACCACAACAAGCATCAAACACAGTTTTTGAACATCTTTGACCAATCTGTTTACAAGCATCTGAAAGAGAGAATCAAATTAAAAATTAAAGAATTACATTCAACACCAATGTCAAGTCAGTGCTTCTATATGATGGTTGAGAGACTTGGCGCTTTACGAAATGAATTTCCAACAAACTACACACACTCACCAACAACTGTCACCTACGCTCACTCCATACTGAAGATCACATGAGATGGCCAGAATAATAAGAATAACGAACGAGGAATTCTGGCTGGCTGACTGGCAACGAACCAACCAAGGACATGTCGCTCAAAAAATATGCACTGGAAGGAAGTGGAGATGAATTGGGCATTCACTGAGAAGACCATTCAAGGACATCACGTGCCATACCAGGCACTCGAGTGGAACCCAGATGGAAAACGACGAGTTCAGCGTCCGATCTGATGGTGACATGGAGGAGATGATATGAGGAAGGAATGAGAGCTTGTGGGTAGCCGTGGAGCAAGGTTGAAAATATTGCAAAGAAGAGAGGGTAATTGAGACGTGCTACTGAATCCCTATGTTCTACTAGGCACCCTAGGGATAAATAATAACAATAATAGTAATAGTAATGATGATGATAATCATAATAATAGCAGTATGGATAAATGTGACAAGCTGTGTGTGTGTGAAAGTACATTTTATAACCTTCTGACCAAACACTGAGACGATTAAATTGAACTGAGTAATCTCTAGCTCAACTGTCATTGACTTCCACAGTTTCCACTTAAATCTTGATACAGACCATATGGCTGGCTTGAAAGTTATCTGTAAAATGCTGACCAAATGTATAAAATAATTATTTCCTTTTATACATTTAGGTAAATCATTAAGGAAACGCAATTTGTCTGAACTGTGTATTGTTCTAGCACAACACATTTTGAACAGTCTGATCATACATGAATTTGTCGTAGGTATTTACATGAAAGGTTATCGAGAGATAGACGATGAAAATATGGAAACACATTGAGTAGGAAGGTTAAGTTAAATGTTGAAATAAGAATGAAAGTCAATAGAGAGAAAATAATAGTACATTGAAAGTGGTTTCAGAGTTGAATGCACCAACGGAGGTTCAGTATGATAACAAATTCTATCTGATCTCATGAAGTGTGACTTCAACTTCCTTCAGGATACGTTTCAAATGCCTTGTGTAAGCAAGTCTAACACATGTAGAAATGTCGATCATATGACTAAATTCTTCGATTGAGAAACATATAACTGAAATAGATCACGTTATCATATTAAGCCTCAGCTGGTATATTCAACTCTGAAACCAATTTCGATGTTCGATTATGATCATTATTATTATTATTATTATTATTATTATTATTATTATTATCACTCTATTAGCCTTCATTGTTATTTCAACCTCCAGTTTCACCTCATTCCATATTTTCACTCCCTATCTCTCTTGATAAACATTTATGTAAATTTCTTTTTCAACTTGGCATTCATCATCAAGGAATATACATGTAAATCCACACAAAAAAGTCAATAAATTGTCAATTTCATGCATATTCTCATGACAAGTCCAATTGTGATCAATGAGATTGTTCACAATGTCTATAGCAAGTAAATTACACTATTCAGACATATTATGTTTTCTTACTATTTCATTTACATCTACAAAGTTCAATGTTTGTCAGGAGTAAATCATGCTGAATATTCAAGTCGATTCCTATTTAAGAAATTTGCTTCAATTATCAATTATTATAATTATTATTATTTCCCTTGGATTCCTAATGGAGCATAGGGTTGCAGTAGTACACCTCCATTCCACTCTCTTCTCTACAGTCTTTTCTACCTCACTCCATGACTGCCGACAAGCTTTCATTTCTTCCTCACACCATCTACTCCATGTCACCCTCACCTCGGACATCCAACTAGTCATTTCACATTTGGATTCGACTCAAGGAGCTGGTCTGTCACGTGATGTTCTCAGTGGGCCAACTCAGTTTATGCCCAATCCAATCCATTTGCATTTTCTTCTCCTGCATATTTGTTGGGTTGTGTTGTTGGTTGGTTGTTTCGTCGCCAGTCAGAGTTTCTTGTTGCTTATTCTTATTATTTTGACCATCAGATCTGATCTTCATGATTGAGTGAGTGTAGGTGGCAGCTGTTGATGATGCATGTGTGCAGTTTGTAGTCAGTGCTTTGTGTGACACACCAAGTTTCTCAACCATCATACAGGAGCACTGACGTACTTGACTGAATTATTGTTGAAAATGCAGATCTTGTTCACGCTTTATGCTGAGTGCAGTGCAGTGCAGTGCAGTACAGTGCAGTAGATCTCCACACTGAATTCACATCAATGAAAGCTCAATCATGAATACATGATAAATATTCAACCAGTGAATATTTCACCTTTCACACTATCTGCATAACAACATCACAGATTACAAGCAAGCTTCAATTATATTCAATATTTTCCGCTGTATATTATCATCTGTGTGATATCTATACTAAAATTTCTACTCAATTTATTTCACTTGATGATGACAGTCTTCACATCAGTTGATAATTTCTCTTTAGAACTATCAATATATTTATTTCGATGAAGTCACACTTATCTGATTATTCTCAGCATACCATCTAAGCATTATACTACAATGTGATTGTATATTACATTAGTCGAATTGATATAACTCACAATCATATAGGATTGTTTACTAGACGACGTTATCATCAACATTTACTCTTCAAATAATCATCTTAAATGTACAATGTATCATCTCTGATAAAGAATATTGGAGTTAAGAAGATTCCAGTCAATTGGTTTGCATTTCTCTTCTCGTTGGGTATTTTAAGTCAGTTCGCTATTCACATAAGAAGAAGTTGTATGATGATGATGATGATGATGATGATGATGATGATGATGATGATGATGATGATGATGATGATGATGATGATGATGATGATGATGATGATGATGATGATGACGGTGATGACGATGATGATAATCAGACAGTGTAGAATGAAAATCAGCTCATCAGTGATAAATTAGATAAGTTCTACAGTTTCGATTCCTCCTATTCTTCTCTTAACTTCATTTCATTTAAATTATTGCAATTATATCATATTGAAATGATTACTTGATTATGTGATTAACCACATCATGTTTACGTAGTCATATCTAGCTATACATATATATATTCTCATTGATTCAGCATATTTAATGTTTGCCTTTAAAAATAAGTATGAAACTGTTTCATATATTCCTCTTTCTTATCGTGTACTTTCTACTATGCCAATAGAGATGGATCAATTCAGTACAATCAATGACGGTGTAATACATGCAATAACACTAAACCTATACCCGTCACACAAGAAGTGGCTATCACGACTCGGTGATGAAGTGGATAACGTGATGACGTTTGAAGCGATCGATCCTGAGTCCGAATCCCGGCGGGAAAAACCTCACTCAGTGGGAAGCAGGTACATCCAGCTAACCAGTCAGTCCCACATAGTACGAAATGAACATCCTGGATTCCACTGCTATCCACTATCCATCATCACTATTCCTTGTTGTTCAGATTGTTATTGAGTCTTCTTTTCTACAATGAACATCTGCTACAATCTTAACAGTCAAATTTAAACAGTTTACCGGAACTCTAGTTGCTACTTCTTCTTCGATTATAACACTCACTTCATAGTTATGATGATTTATACTGATTAACCTTCTTTAACTTTTTACTTAACCACTACAACAATATCACGTTTGACAAATATTATTCGAAGAATTTGTATAAAGATAACTTGTTATATTGGGGGTTACTTTGACGAGTATCAATAGTAGAATCTTTAGAAAAACTGAAAAGTTTTGAACATGTACTCCATTCCATTCTCCAAATCATAACTAAACCCTAATGAAACCAAATAACATACTTCATGAAATTTTTAGGTGATATAACAAGAGCCTAAGTTTCTAGATATACATTATTGAATTAGTTCAAAGAAGATTAGTATTTTGTTTCTGTCTGAAAATCAAGAAGAATCAATAGGTGATGTAATCATGAATTTTGGTTGACATGATAACCTGATGTGTTGTAGAATTTGAACGTAGAACATGCTGTTTCAAATCCTACAATGACCTACTGTTCCATCTGAAATTCAACCATGATACTATTACAGAAAGACAAGTCTGTCGAGTCACAGTTATCCGACTGATCTCGCTATATCATTTGGTTAGGTTGTAAACCACACTGACTAGCATAATGTACCATATTAGCCAAAGAGATTAATGAACTAGAAGGGGATAGTCTTCACACTTTTCACACATTATTATATTGAATTGTATATGTTAATGTGTTTTCATCACACTAAGTCAATCTGACAGTTGATGTGTAAGGCGTTAATAAGTATGTATTAGAAGTCAATAGTGTGCATCTTCGAGAAGATTTAGGCCGAAACCAAACAGTTTACATACATGTAATGTCAGGCTTTCAGTCGTTCTTCAACTGACCTAACTTCTGCAGCAAATTAAATCTGAGTTATCCAGAAGTCGAAATGTTCAGCTTATTTTAGAACCTCCTCTTCATCATAAAAATATCCTTTGCTAACAAATTGATGAAGAGGTATGTGAATAAATGTTTTAAATTTGAAAGGTGATAAAGACTGAGCAAACTACAGACACTGACGTCTCTAAATGTCTTTCACAGTCAATGTGGGTATTAAAAAAGCACTTTGAGATTTGTACTGAACAGACTGCACTGTTGAGGGGTGGAAAATGAGTAGGGTAGGAAGTTTGTCCTCTGATACAACTTGGAGTGTGACCTTGTTCAATGAACTGCCAGTGATTGGTGAATAAGAAAACATCAGATTTCAGTTATGATACTTGCAATTTCCCGTGTCTACACAGGGACGAATTGATCCACCTCTGTTGCCAGATGAGTTCCTTTACAGATGCCTTGATACTGTTGTTTATTCATGACGTTATATTAATCTTGGTGACTAGAAGAAGAATGCAAGATGTGCCTTTATTGCAATCAGGGACAAGTGAGCTGTATATACGTGCACGTCAGTGAGTGATGTTGTTCCCACTGAAGCTGGGACCCAGTACCCTTCACTTCAAACATCACAGCTTTATCATCCACTGAGAGACTTTGGGCAAAATGGTCACCTTTTGTGCAACTGGTATCAGTTGTTGGTGTGATACTTGTAATTTTCTGTTGTTATACATGGCTGAATTGTTCTATGAGTTGCAAGAAAGTGGCTATTGGACCCCAGTGGCTTTGTAGATAACGTTCTGGCATTTAGAGCGAACGGCGATTGGTTTGAGCTCCAGTTGGAACAACATCATTGACTGGGATGTAGGTACATCCAGTCGACAAGTTCTAAATAGGATGAATCGTGTATTCTGGATTCCTCTGATAGTCACCAAGTTCAGTATAACATCAGATTTGAGTTTCACTGAACAAATGAACGACTCCTAATGCCTTCCGAGGACTTCCAGGTAGCTGACTTAAGAGATTAGAATAATTTCTTGAGACTTGACTAACTAACATAGACAGAAAAGGCATACTGCTTGTAATGAGACATTTTCAAATTTCCCTCAATAAGAAATTGCCTTCCGAAGAAAGCGAGTATAAATTATTAATAAACTCAGCTTAACTGGCCAAGAAAATGAGTTTCCAAACACTTAAACAGTAGATAAGTCTAAGAAGCTATTTTCGGGATTCAAGACATTTTTCTGTATGTGTCTTTCTTAAACACATAGAGAAGGTTTGCAAAAGTTTCTGGTGTGTTGAAGTGTTTGCCTTCACTTTATAAATGACTTTGAAACAAGACTTGCATGGAGCACAGTAACAAGATATGATCAAATCCTTAAGAATCGAGAGTTTTTCACTCAAAAAGTGAATGCAAACATTTCGAAGCGAGTGCACATTGGACACCTTAGCATTTTTTTGACATAATCAACAATTTGAAAGTCTAATATGCATCACTCTGTGATCAATCCAAGACTTTTGATATATAACAACTAGACAGAATCATGTCATTCATCCCATGTTTCAACCGGATGGACTTGCTTCGTGAATCTGAAATCCATACATTATAGCGCCATTCAGATTCAAGTAGATTGATAATGCTAAATCAGGACCAGTTTATTCACCTAACATTGCAAAAGTCCATTTACTTCTCTTATTAAAAAGTTGGTCATAAACTCACACATTTCACATGACAGGATAGTTCTATGCTGTTTGCTAAATTTATACATGAATCAGGTTCTACAGAATACAAATGTATCTTGCCCAGTTAAAATCCTCATAATTGTATTAATGATAGATTGTGGCTAGCAGTGGAATCCAGGATGTGCGTTTCATCCTATTTGGGACTCGTCAGCTGGATATACCTGCTTCCCACTGAGTGAGGTTTTTCCCATAGGGATTCGGACTCAGGATCGGTCGCCTCAGACGCCATCGCGTTATCAATCACACCACTGAGACACAATAGCCACTTCTTGTGTGACGGTATAGTTTTAGTAAAATTGTTTTCATATCCTACTGTCCTTGATTGGACCGAATTGACCAGTCTCCATTGGCATATTGGCCCCTATGAGAATGCCTCAATATTCCCTATGTTCTAATTATATTAATGATGGTATTATTAACGACAGTATGATATAAAAACAACTCTATACTAAAAACTATACCCGTCTCACAAGAAGTGGCTATCGTGGCTCGGTGGTGTAGTGGATAACCGACTGGCGTTCGATGCGACCACTTCCAAGTCTGAATCCCGATGGGAACAACGTCACTCATTAAGAAGCAGGTGCATCCAGCTGACGAGTACCAAATAGGATGAAATGTGCATCCTGAATTCCACTGCTAGCTGTGATTCATCATTGATATAATTAGAACACAGGCAATATCGAGGCATCTGCACAGGAGCCCATATGCCAACAGAGACTGATCAATTCGGTCCAATCAACGACTGTAGGATATAAAAACAATTATACGAAATCTTCATAATTATTACACTATCACAGTCATTTATAATACTATTCTTGATTAGGACATTTGTGAGCAACTGACTGATCTTGAAACAGCCTTTATCACAGATAGATATGTTAGTAAATCAGTGAAAGGCAACAAGCACTAATCATCTATTCTGTAATTATTTGAGGCTGCTTGTTATCATGGAACTTGAAACCTTGAACCATCAGTTCACTTATCGCACCCGTCACAATCCAGTTGCTGGCTTATAACAAGAAAATCATACTGAACACAATTTCATCTTGGAAAGTGGATTGTCTTATTTCAATAGAACATAAAAGTGTAGTTGTTTATTTGTGAATATTGAGGGAGTTGTGGGGTTTGGAAATATTTCAAATTGTTATTCATCGTAGACTGACATCAGTTGGAGGAACTAAGGAAACCTGGGAGCACTGGATAGCTGTTTCGTCCCACTAGTAGTATGGGACTCTTCAACACTGCGCACCCAAGACTCCGCCAGGGATCAAACCCACGACCTTCAGGTTCCCTGGCCAGCACGTTAACATTGAGCCACCGTTGTTCCTCCAACTGATGTCAGTCTAAGATGAATAACACCTGAAATATTTACAAATCCCTACAACTCTCTCAAAATTCAATTGAACTGGTGCTCATTGGTGACCAGCTTCGAGAGGTATTCCCGAAGTCCTAATGAGAAGTCTTGATCGGTTGGGCAAAGCCTGATGGTCGTGAGGATATTTACTCAACGATGATATTGGGTGGCGGTTTTGCTATATCGTGAGCTAACGGAACCTGAATGTCGCCGGTTCGATCCCTGGCAGGATCCAGTGTTCCCAGGTTTCCTTTGTTCCTCCAGCTGATTTCAGTCTACAATGAATAACAACTTGAAATATTTGTGAATACTTAAAGTGGAAAATGACAGAGAAATCTACGGTTATAACATCAGCTTACTTACCAGTAGTATATATTGCTTGTAATGATAGAATCAGGAGGATAACTGAAATCCGTCCAAAGTATTTCAGCATGTCTGACACAAATAATAAAAGATTAGCTGAAAAGCGCTTTATATACAGTATCATTTATTCGGCGAAAACATCGCTCTACACAACATACTTGTTTAATTACCGGAAACAGTCTTGTGTACATAATTATACTATCTTGTAAATTGTGAGTAGCGAAACGCATACAGTTTTACGGTTGCACATTATTCGTTTCGTTTTATTTGTTGATTGTATAGCAAAGATAAATTTGAATTAGCTAACGTAAGTTACGCAATACTTGTTCTGTGATCAAATCTGCGCTGCTATCGACAAAGAGTTATAGACTAATAGTCGCTTTTTTTGCGGCCTACAAGGAGTTATAAACTGAGGCTAATGTAGTAAGTACAAGAATAGTACAATATGTTTACTCATACAAGACAGATAGACAAATGAATCAAGAAGTTGTGTTCAAATCTGTACAGAAATAACCAGTGAGATTAGAATTCTGCATCTAACTATCACCAGTAAAGCAAATCTTCATGAGAACTTCAGTTAAGATACCAACATTGTTTACTAATTCAGTTGTATGATGAATATCTATCTTAATGGAGAGCCTATAGGATATTTGAAAAACCACTATCCTTAGCACATCACATAGTTTCTCCTCGTTAAGCTGGATGCGATCGCAGATCTTTACAGCAGTTCGATACTGACTTTTGATGGGAAAAGATTTTCACAAACTTCATTAGTACAATTTTTTTCTTTGAGCTATCGTAATCAAATATAAAAGAAGTTTATTCATATCCTTTTAGAGTGTCATGGTTAAAATAAAATCGTTTAACCATCGATAAATTACTCTTTCATTTTATTATGCTTTAGTTTGAGCCTACGGGGACACTCATCGCTTGTTTTCGAATCGTTAATGATTTGTACAATGACAGATAGTTTTCAGTAGTTGTTTGACCTACAGTATTAGTTGATGGATATTTATTCCAAAGACAGAAAATGTTCTCGTAAAATGAAGTGAAAATTTTATAGGTGGATAAAATAAGAGTCAAAATGCACATTCCAATCAATTATACCCGGTTGGTTTATCAAAGTAGAAGAAGTAGTTATTTACATGTTTACATGAATCCATAACTCAGGGTACAGAGCAGTGTTGTGTCACCTAGATTAATGCACACATTGTAAATTTGATCAATAAACTTAGATCACTGCTAATCATTAAGGATTAAACAGCTACATTGGTGACCCCTTCACTTCTCGATTTCAATCCTACAACAAATATTCCTGAACTCAGAGAACATTAAATCCAGCATGCATTGATATTTGATCAAGTGAACTTGATTATCAGACTATCAGTCCTCACTGACGAAATCACATCACCACCTCAGAGTATATGATAACATTGGTTACTGTCCAACAACAAGTTCTTCGAATCACACTTGAGATAAAAGTGTACAGAAATGACAAGTGAAACTGAAAGTGAGACCAGAAGACAAGAGAATTCAATCCATTAGCTCGACTCGAATATTTAATCACCTAATTTCCGACAGTAAAACTCTGATGAATGCCCAGTCAAATTCTATAAACAAATTTGGCAAACCAAAGTTTAGTCAATGGTCAACTGATAGGAAATAATTCAGACGTTATCGTTAGAGGTAATAATACTTGACTAGACAATATGAAATTGGTTGCTGTCCAGTGACCAATAAATGTATCTCATTGAAGATTTGAACAGTGTAATGGCTGGACAGTAGTGTTTTATAGATTCATGCATGCATGAAACTGTAACTTTTTCTACTATCCTGATATCTCAGCCATGTGATGACGCCACATGCCGAGTGATTCATGATGGAAAAATCAGTGAAGCGTTTGAAGTGAAGACAGTAGATAGGAGTAATACAAGGTTGCCGCCTACCATCACCGATCATCTTGCTGATTGTGGTCGACTGCAGTGGACTGGACCATGCAACAGACAGTTGTGAGAAGATGAGTATACGCTGTTTGACCGATGTGGTGGAAAGACGCCAGAATAAGATTTGGATTTCGCCGATGATGATGATGATGAACAGTCACACACTTCAGGTGGTGATGCCATGTTTTAGTCTAACCACTCCGAGCCTTTTCCATCCTGAATCTACTTCGTTTAACATTACTCAGTGATGAAGACTGTGAGTAGGCGAGCGTAATAAATGTCCCAACCATTTCAGTCGATAAAGTTTCACAACCACATCAAAAGATTTTCCTTTTCTGCCTAAAATTCTACACTTGACTTCTGCGTCACTCGCGTGGTGACACCACGAAACATGGCTTATACTACAAAGACATTGGTAGTCAAACACCTGAAGCGTTCTTAGATCCACTATCTTTAATAGCCATTTTTCACAGTCATACAGTGGAACAGAGTGAACTTGTATGCATTACATTAAACCCTTAATAGGTAGTCGGATATCGCAGAGGGGACACATACGGTCGTAGATTGGCAAAAGTCAACCGAGTCAAGCGCAAATCAAAATATAATAGATACCATGTTGATCTTTGTTCTTTTTACCAATAACAAAATCTACCCAACTTATACAACACAGTAATATGTATTCCATGTAGCAAATATACTAATAAGAAGCCTTGAAAACTTAATGACCCTGGTCTATGAGCTTTATTTCAGAGAACAACCTTAAAGCCATCTTCAGTGAAAATAAAGTTCGAAGATAAATATAATCACTCAAAGCATTTGATAATCATATGTTTATGATGGATAGTAGCTGGCAGTAGAATCCAAGACATGTGTTTCGTCCTATTCAGGACTGATCAACCAAATGTGCCAGCCTTCCAGTGAATGGTGTTGTTCACCACTGTAGCTCAAACTCGAGACTGATTGCTTCAAACGCCAGAACGTTATCCACTAGACCACCGAGTCACGATAGTCACTTCTTGTGTGATGGGTATAGTTTTAAAATATTGTTGCTTATATTCCCCCCCCACCCCGGGCCCGTCGTTGATTGGATAGCATTGATTGATATTAAAACTGTTAAAATATTGATGAGAACAGGTTATAAACATTTTTATTACCATTATGATTAAAATATAATTAACTATTGAATTACAATCTAAAAATTAATTACTGCTAATAAATAGACTAAAACAATAAAATTGAATTGAATATTACTACAGATTTTTACATTTTCCCCATTCACATTTATGTGAACAACAGTTTTTATCTTGTACACAAATAGAACCTGTTTTAAGACATTTTACACATATACCATGAAATAGTGAAGATAATTGACACATAGATTCTCCACAACATCTTTCAAATACTGTTTTGCTACATTTCTCTCCAATGAAACGACAATCTAAATTTGTAAGTTATATAGAAATACATTTATATTATGAGTTATAATATATGTAAGAAAAATTATATTATAAGTGAAAAACTTGGGCACTGTGGTAGAATGTAATTCCATATTACATTTGTTTATTTGATATAAAGCGCACAGTGATACAGTATTATTTACTTGATTACGTTTCGAGCATAAATTATCATTGCTCATAATCATATCAATGTAATCACACTTCTTTCGATATCTGATTTTATAGTCCTGTCACCTGATCTCTCTTTGTTTTTTGTTTTTTAATTGGTAGTAAAGTTTTCCATATCTCTGGTATAGGTGTTGCGTCATTCCTATTACGTGTGTTGGGTGTGGATTCGATGAACAAAGATTCACTAATTAATCTCTCTCTCCACCTAGCTATATTAGACTTAAGTACAGTGGTTTTGTCCCACCCTATTGTGTGGTTGTGTGTTAATGAATGTAATGCAATGGCTGAGTGTTTTTCTAGGTTATTGATCTTATTGGGGTCTGCCGTTCTATGTTTAGCTAAATTCCTGTGTTCTGTTAATCTAACTGACCCCAACCGGCAAGTTTGACCTATGTATTTGACGTCACAGTCATTACATGGAATTTGGTAGATTATATTATTCTGCTTAATTGGTTCTATCGGATCTTTTAGCCGACAAAGCTTACCTCTAAGTGAGTTTGTTGGTTTAAATGCCACCCTAATTCCAACCTTGTTGAGAATCCTACGTATGGTTTCTGATGTTCCTTCCCCATCATTTTATTAAAAAATTCGCACGGACACATAAGAAGCAAAATAATAACACTAATACAAATACAAATAATAGTGACAACATAAGTAGAAAGGAAATCAACACCTCTATTGTGATACCATACAAGGAAGGAACATCAGAAACCATACGTAGGATTCTCAACAAGGTTGGAATTAGGGTGGCATTTAAACCAACAAACTCACTTAGAGGTAAGCTTTGTCGGCTAAAAGATCCGATAGAACCAATTAAGCAAAATAATATAATCTACCAAATTCCATGTAATGACTGTGAAGTCAAATACATAGGTCAAACTTGCCGGTTGGGGTCAGTTAGATTAACAGAACACAGGAATTTAGCTAAACATAGAACGGCAGACCCCAATAAGATCAATAACCTAGAAAAACACTCAGCCATTGCATTACATTCATTAACACACAACCACACAATAGGGTGGGACAAAACCACTGTACTTAAGTCTAATATAGCTAGGTGGAGAGAGAGATTAATTAGTGAATCTTTGTTCATCGAATCCACACCCAACACATGTAATAGGAATGACGCAACACCTATACCAGAGATATGGAAAACTTTACTACCAATTAAAAAACAAAAAACAAAGAGAGATCAGGTGACAGGACTATAAAATCAGATATCGAAAGAAGTGTGATTACATTGATATGATTATGAGCAATGATAATTTATGCTCGAAACGTAATCAAGTAAATAATACTGTATCACTGTGCGCTTTATATCAAATAAACAAATGTAATATGGAAAAAATTATATTAATCAAAATGTTTATTGCTACTCATTAGTAATTTTCAAGAAAATCGTATTATTTATTTCATAGATTGCATACAATGCTTATCAATCAATATTGGAAGTAAAGAGTTTATCATCAAGTTTATTTCAAGTCATGACTAAACGAAGAAATATCTTGTTTAGTGAATACCGAAATGCAGACTTTCACTAACTGATGCTCAACAACTTACATCAAAAAAGGGGCTATAACACAGTTTCATATCATTTAGCTCAGTAGCAACAATGCGAACTTTATTGATAGATATATGTCTGTTTCTAGGCCAGTTCTGGTGCCTCTGATATTTGATATAGTTTCCTATTCAAAATATTTCAAATGTATATGTTGAATATGGTGTTGCAGTCTCAGTTTGTTCATTAAATGAGAAAAGAAAAAGTCTCTAGATCTATTCCTTACCTTTTCTCTGCCATGTGACATCAATCGTTTCTAGTTGTGCTCAACTAGTGGTAGAGTAAACTTACAAGTTTTCATAACTGATAATAATCTGACTTTAAGATGTCACTAGTTAATCAGTTGATTTGCATATAAATTGCCTCAGTTCATACAGTCTGACTAAGATTAATTGGTTTATGCACACTGAAATAACGTTTTGCTTATTTAGTGTTAAATGCATCCAAATCGGGTTGCAAGCTGTAAGTAAATCTTGTTCACGACAGGATTCATAGTTAAACGAAGAGATCCAACATCTAACTATTCATAAGTTCTCAGTTTCATGTAGTCAATTCATGATGTAACCAGATGAGATACTTAATCATTGAAATGAAACTGGGAATTAAACAGCCAATGGATCTGTTGTCTAGGTCAGCTGAGCATCAGACCAATAACTCGAAGTCTATCCATTTAAATCCTGATGTGACTTAGGTTTCCTCTCAAACTCATTTCATCAAACTACTTCATTGAGTCAAGTCTACTAAACCACTACAATCTAGCTTAGTCTTGTAAGCAAAATTTCAAACTTCATACCTAAGCCATATTTGTGTTCAGTCTTCAAGGAAAAAAGAGACAGGAAACAACATGATTTAGACGATTACAGGTGAACACTTATGCATGAAACACAACCATACTCATGAATCAAAAAAGTGATTACCGATAATTTCTTCAATATTTCCTAGGACAATGTAAAAATTATTACCACATAAATATTATATTTAAATTTCGAACAAGAGTTAAATATGTTCATTATTTTTCGAATCTTTCAAGCTACATTTATCATTCTAGCAAAGTGTACAAGGTCAAAGTAGTTTTTATCATACATTGACATTATTTGAAGAACCATTGGAAACCTTGAAATACTGGGCATCTTTTCGCTGCAGTATGATGCTTCTCAGCAGAGATCACTAACAATCTAGTGAGGAGTTTATCCCAGAAAAGTCATATGTTACAGTGACTACTAGACCACTTAGCCATTATGTTTGATAGTCCACATTTTATGACTTCTGTAACGTCACGATAACCTGCATCCATCATCCAATGTCATAGGTGAACAGCAGTCCTAAATCGTGACTTTGTTAACTCTACAGGTCACAACTACTCACTAGAACTTTCGGAACTTTAAAAAGAGCTGGATTTCAACTCACTTAGGCGTTTTGTAGATTTACTCAGTTCATACCAAACTCTTCTTTGAAAGTGTATCCTCACTCTCTTGTACATCAGATATTACTAACTGATTTCTCAACTGCTCAGTTTAAAAGTAAAACTTTGATAGGATTCCAGTTACTCGATGTGTAAATCATACAACTGTTGCAAATGTCAGCTTTTGCTATGACAGCTGGCAGCAAATTATAATGCACAACTTATCCTTATTTCAAGAAGTACATTGGTAATACTGTGCAGTGTAATCCTGAAAGATTTGTATGGAAATCCCTTACAATGAATAGGGCAACTTCATAAAAAATCTATGTTCACTGTGAGAACTCTGAGTTAAAGCTGGTTACAGTGATCTAAACACCGAGTAACTTGTGAATTCATCCAAAGCTCACCTTGATGTGTTGATGTACTTGAATTAACTCAACCCCAGAAGTAAAACAGCTTATCAGTGTGTTGTATTTCCAATAAATTTTTAATTAAAGAATACATTTATACAGGTTGTATAGTTTTTATAACCACATTCGCTAATGTTATAATGAACTTGGTAACCAGTAGAGGAATTCAGAAAGCGCATTTCGTTCTACTTGGGGCTTGTCAACTAGATGTACCTCCATTCAAGTAAGTGATGTTGTTCTTACTGTAGCTCTAACCCATTACCTTTCGCTTTCAATGCCACAGCGTTATCCATTAAGCCACTGCGTCACGATAGCCACATCTTGTGCAGGGGATATCATTTGTTGTAATAATACTTGTAATTTTCTCTGCTAGTCATCAAGATCAATATGACATCATAAATAATCAATAATATCGAGCCATCTGCATAGGAGCCTATCTGCCAACAGAGGTCGGGCAGTTCGACGCTGTTTAGTAACGGGAACTTACAAGTATCATTACTACATTCACTTAGTCTATATTTATCTAAATGTTTGCTTGCATCACAAAACACTCAGTTGTTATTTAACCTTTAAGATTTACATTATATCTATGAGAATTCCTTTAACTTTCAATATACCCAACAAACAGTTCTCATCATAAAATCTACCAATACTTAGTAAAAATTTCATTGAATAAATCTTAGAAGCATTTCATCATCATCATCATCTTCCACTGTTTAACTGAACAATCAAAGTAGGATATAGTATAAGTGTTTTATATGATACCGTCTTTGATTGGACTGAATTGACCGGTCTTTATTGGTATATAGGCTCCTGTGCGGATGCTTCGACATTACCAACGTTATAATTATAATAATGATGGATCATGGCTAACAGTGGAATCCAGGATGCGTATTTCGTCTTATTTGGGACTCGTCAGCTGGATGTACCAGTGGGTGATATTGTTCCCACCGGGACTCGGACTCGGGGAGTGATCGTTTCAAACGCAAGCGCCTTATCCACTACTACAACCATCATTAAGATAATTAGAACACTGACAATATCAAGGTATCCGCACAGGAGCCCATATGTCAATAGAGACCGACCAATTCGGTCCAATCAACGACGGTATCATACAAAAACAATTATACCAAAAACAATACCCATCGCACAAGAAGCGGCTATCGTGGCTCGGTGGTGTAGTGGACAACGCGATGGCGTTTGAAGCGATCACTCTCGAGTTGGAATCCCTGTGGGAACAATATCACTCACTCCGAAGCAGGTATATCCAGCCAACCAGTGAGTCCAAAATAGGACGAAATGCTCATCGTGGATTCTACTGCTACCCACTGTCCATCATTAACAAAAATAGGATATATTTTAACAAGTTTCCAAACTCTTTATTTTAGTTTCTTCAATATTCTTTTCGTGTTGTAATATTCTATTCAGAACTGTTATTATTTTACCATTAACTGACCATTATTCAGCGGTTGTTTTCAAAGTAAATATGCTAGGGAGGGAGGTATTCTTACACTTTTAAGCGTCAATTTATCATCAAATCCATTCTATAATTTCTATAACTTCATTAAAAATATAAAGCTTGTCTACAGCAGTATATCACCTTGTAACCGATGTAGTAAAGCTGTGATTCAATCAGTCTAAACACTGTTGACTTTTAGCAGATGATTAATGAGTTCAAATTCAGCCTGACTTATCAAGGTTTGAATGGACAGGTAAGTATCAACATCCTTCAGACAACATAGGTGGTGAAATTGCCAATCATATGAACATGCATATAATTGTTGAATGCATTTCATTTTCATTAAGTTGAAGATACAAATGTATATCTTTCGAAAAATTAAGATTGATAACCATGAAATAAATAATTGTAATAACAATAATAATAATAATAATAATATTTTAATATAAAATTATGAATAAATAAATAATTTTTGATATAAAATGAAATCTTTATCTTACTTTTTGCTTGACTACTAGACCATGAAATCATAAGAATTGAAAAGAAGAGAACAGAAGTATACACCATCATTTTTTTCCAACCCTGAGTATAATCAAAACTTTTCTAAAGGTTACCCCAGGGAATAATATTATATATATATATATATATATATATATATATATATATATATATATATATATATATAGTGATTAGCCTAAATGTACGTGTATTTGTCCAGAAGTTAACTGTAGTAAATTTAGGGTATGTAACACTAGAAAAGTGATTATTTACAATTGTTCTAATCAGATTTGAACATTCTCTTATCAATAAAGCATCGTCAATTAATACTTATAACTGTGAACAATTAATTCTTTATTTATGTTTAAGTAATTACCGGAAGTATTGATAACTGATTTTATACATTCTCTAATTCATGCCAGAAAGAAAAAGGAAACTCTTGAAAACTGTTCAACATAAGTTTATCCTACATTGATGAGAAATGTAATTCAGGAGGAATTGATGACTTTATACAATACAAGAAAATACATTCCAACAGTTAACAGAAAACCGTTATCCATTCTAAAACAGTTTAGAGATCATATGATAGGTAGTGTGGTATTAATTCATAAACTATATAAATCAACTTAATGTCATTATATTACAAGTTACCCACCGTTGACGCAGATTGATGGAGGAATTGCCTAAACTGGTCACTTCCTGTTGTGTTCATTAGTTCAACTGCTATTGTGGAGCCAGTTATGTTGTCTGTTGCTCTTGGAATTTGACTATTCCGTGCTCGCAAACACCTCTTGGGGTGGTTAGAGTGTTGTAAAAACCTATACTATCTCTATATTAGCGCATCTTATTCAAACGAACCTTACAGTAGGTGTGAATAGGTGATTCCTCTTTTTATTTACCCAGTCTTTCTCAAAATGGTAAGGATATCTGGCTTCGAATCATTTAAATTACAGAAATGGCAGCAATTAGGAGTGAACAGCCTGAGTTATTTGTTGGATAAAGGTAGTTTCCCCATTGCAGTACCCTCCTACTCTATTTCCTCATCCCTGCGATAATTGTATTACTTTCTCTTGACCTAGTTTTGTTCTCCTCTATCAGAAACACTCTATCAAGCTATTATTCCTCAGATTATTCATCTTTGTCTATTGTATCTAGCTGTCCTACACATCTTCGCCATTTTTTGATTCAACTATCACCTTATAGTACTACATAAGAAGTATAACCGTATAGATAATCAGTTATTTTGAACTGAATCCCAGTAACAATTGATTCTGACATTACTCTTCATACAAGACTTTCCTGAAGAGACCTCCTGAGCTATATAATGTTATTAACAAAGTGTTAAATGATATTCAATGGTTTTGACACAAAATGACACAATCTATGCTTATAACTTTAGGATCTGAAGAAATAGTCATCGAAAAAAGAATATTCTTTGAATCCAATCAAGCTAAAGTCTTTACATGAGTTCTTCATTTCAGACTCAATTAGAAGTTTTGATTAAATAGTTTGTATATTCTAAGACTTATTATTGATTTTTATTCATGACTAAGAGAAGTAGTCCAATTTCGCCTAAGTTCAAAATCTCTTTCCAAAATTGAATTTTGAGGGAGTTGTGAAGATTTGGAAATATTTAAAATTGTTATTCATCGTAGACTGACAGCAGTTGGAGGAACTAAGAAAACCTGAGAGCACTGGACAACTGTTTCGTCCAACTAATGTGGGACTCTTCAGCAATGCGCACCCACGACCCCGCCAGAGATCGAACCCGCGGCCTACTGAAGAGCCCCATACTAGTTGGACGAAACAGCTGTCTAGTACTCTCAGATTTCCTTTGTTCCTCCAATTGATGTCAGTCTACGATGAATAACAACTTGAAAAATTTCCAAAATGTAGTTTTGACGACAAAAATGAATTGATTGATTGCCTATACCTACATAGTACATCTTAGTAAGGTAGTGTAGTGTATAGCCGTAAGTTTAACATATCTGTAATAAACGTCTTCTAAGTAAAAGTAGAGAAGACGGAAACCGGGATATACCTTCCTCTTGCTTTCCAACACGATAAGCTAAGTTACATCAGTAAAGTGTATTTAGTAGTTGAACATACTTATTCGCACTGTTTAAACACTTTTAGAAATAGCTGAAGGCATTCAAATCGTTCAATACTCTCTCATTGTTACCTCACTTAAGACTCAGATCATAAAAATGATACCTTTTATTTAAGATCTATACAGGCATTTCATTGTTAGCACTCAATTATTACTGAGGAGTAAAACACTCCCCCACAATGTAGTGATTTTGATATGCAGTAATTAACTGATGTAACTATATTCAAATTTGAGGTTTGTGGGGGTCTAGAAATTCTTCAAGTTGCTATTCATCATGAACTGATATTAGTTGGAACAGCACTGGAAACCTGGGTGCACTGGACAGCTGTTTCCTACTAGTATGGGGCTCCTCAGCGGTGCTCACCCATGACTGTTATAAGGATCCAGCCCGGGACCTTCAGGTTCCGTGGCCGTAAGGACAATTACTCAGTGATGATCAGGCTATGTCGTGAATTCACAGAAGTTGGAAATATGAACCATCCGATTCCGACTCAGTGGATCAATGGTAACGTTCTGGTCACGGGAACCGAAGGTCTTGGGTTCGACCCCTGGAGAGCTTGTGGGTGCGCACTGCTGAGGAGATCCATACTGGGACGAAAAGACTGTCCAGTGCTCCCAGGTCTCCAGTGTTCCTCTAACTGATTTCAATTCATGATGGAAACTATCTTGATGCAATCACTCTTGAAAGATGAAACTTTAAACTTACATCCCTTCATGAAAACTTATCGGCTACCAACTAATATTCACAATACTTTTGATCGAATGTTTGTCATCTGAAGATTGATTTTTATAATTGCTTCAACTTCGTAATGTCTTTTTACATATGCGAAATCCTCGAATCTTGATATATATCCAATAAGTTAACCAGTAGTTCAGTTCTCTCAAACTGATCCGGTTGCATTTTGAGAAAGTTATGCCTTGACCACCGTAAATCAACAGTACTGATACAACGGTTAAGCGTAAATCACGTTTACAAGTCTCAAGCCAGACTGACCGAGTAAAGGAAAATGAAATTAAGCCAATGATGATAAACCTTCGAATTTATATTTCAACTGTACACTTGATGTACACCATTTTATACACCAACTGGATATTATATATATATATATATATATATATATATATATATATATATATATATATATATATATATTTATATATAGTTTTTGTTTGTTATATTTTGAGCAAATTCAAAGGCCACCCTAGCAACAACTGAAATAACTAACCAGACTTTTTCTATTTTATAAAAATCTGCCTTTTCAACCAAAATGGAGGAACCTAATTGGTTATGTCGATCGTTTCTAGGGTGGCCTCTAAAGTCGCCGTATATTTTTTGGCTTTAAGTCTAACCACTGATAGGAAACAACAATACGAACAAACTGACTAAAAATAAATTCTTATAAAAAAAAGAAATAAATGAATAAACAAACTCCATCTAGTGAAAAAATCATTTATTCTCAACTCTGAATTCACAACATGGAAAAGATACAGTTTCACCTAAAAAGAGTAAAAATAATTGTAATTTGGTTTCCGAGGAATAAATCCATATCTTCTGGAGTTAAGTGTATTTTTTCAGTCTTTACATTTGGAAAATCGGCATTTTTTTGAGCAGCATTCTCCATTATGCAAATAAGAGTGACCTGTCTGTATGCATCTGACACACATTACTACCATAACATCTGTCAAACAAAGTTTTACTACATGATTCACCATATTCAGTGCATGCACCTGAAACAATTGTTAAATCACAACAAATATGAAGTCAATATGTGTTTTGTAAACTTTCAATTTTGTACTATCCTGTATTGCATTACACAAAAATCTTATTCGAAATTATCATCTGGTGATATGGTTGAAGTCTTGTTTCGCTAACCAAATCGCGCTCTTTATCACTTTTGAAATTTTGTTACTTACTTTAAGCTACTCATAAGTAGTCAAAAATTAAACTTAGATATTTGGACTTTCTGAAGAGGTTATCAGATCTCGGAATTGTGTAACTATATTTACTTGTTGTTAATACTTGAGTTATTTCAAAGTTGCCAAACTACCAGGAATATTACTGATAACTAGAACCAGTTATTCGCTTGAGAAATATGTGTTCAAACAATGAAGCTTCCAATTCAGTCATATCCATTTCAAATGATTTACAATGTGAAATATAATTCACGGCAATACAGGGAAAAATCTATACTTTGGCAAATAATAAGACTATTCTCATAAGTAGAAATACAAATATAACCTAAGCAAATTAACTTTCGACAAAGTCTTTAACAAAACCGCTAAGTAGCCCTCATTCAAGTTGTCTTAGGTAAAGTGAGTTACCCCGAGTTCCAGTTATTGATAAGTTGTAAGAAACAAAACAATTGGGTCATACAGGGATTCCTTTCAGTTGACCTCCGGTGTTTAACGCCAGAATAAACCATTTCTGATCAGCCAGCAGCAAGATTCACAAAGCAATTGATCAGCTTCTGTAAGAAGATAGATGAATTAGTCGACAACAAAAGCTCTATAAATTTATTCCTTATTAATTCGGATAGATATTCTGTCTACTGTATAGCCACCCATTTAATAAAACTAACTAATAAACTAACAACTTTTGTGAAATAGCGAAGGGACTCAAGATCTTTCAATATGATGTTGTTCCCACTGGAGCTCGGACCCACTGCCGTTAGCTCTAAATGCCAGAACGTCATCTACAAAGCCACTGGGGTCCAATAACCAACTTTTGTGCAACTCACCGAACAATTCAGCCATGTATAACAGCAGGAAATTACAAGTATCACACCAACAACTAATACCAGTTGCGCAAAAGGTGACCATTTTGCCCAAAGTCTCTCAGTGGATGATAAAGCTGTGACGTCTGAAGTGAAGGGTACTGGGTCCGAGCTTCAGTGGGAACAACATCACTCACTGACGTGCACGT